TAGAAAAGAAAATAGCAAACTAGCATTAAAAAGACCCAGAAACAAAAAGAAACAATTCTAGATCTTCTAGAAAAGAAAAATATGGTTGATGCACTCAAGATAGCAAATCTCCAAAGTCACATAACAACATAGGCTGGACAAGGAAGTAAAACCAAAATCGATTATATTTGAATATCACAAAGCTGAAGTCTAAACTTAGTAGTAGCCAAAACATATAATATGAAACATATAATAGCAAGCAACCACAAGCTAATATTAGCCAAAGTAGAAACAGGGCTCTATGAAAGAAAAACCTTTTTTGTGAGGCTCCACAAAAAGAATCGAGGCAAAGTTAGTATAGACCTTAAAAAGATAACAGAAGAAGACTAAGACAACTATAAAGAAAAACTAGAAAAAGAACTTAAAAATTATTCAAAGAAGATAGAAAATATAAACACCAAGCTTTCGATGAAACAGGTCTATTAGAAGATAGCAACAAAGATGAAATGTGAAAAAAAATACAAAAAGCCATTCAAAAAGTAGCAAAAAACACGCTTCTAAAAAAAAAAAGACACCAGAACTTCTAGAACTATAACAAGAAAATGAAGAGTTAAAAAGTCTTAAAAGAGATATAAAAACAACCTGAAAATAGTGTTGAAAGCTTAAAAAACTTACAAATATAAGAAAAGCTACAACTGACAAAGAAGACCCAACAAACAAGCTAGTGAAAGAATGTTTATTGGTTTTAGAAAGCAAGTTTACAGATGCTTTCTCTAAAGAGAAAATACAAGATGAACGAGAAAAAATGAATACTAAGCAAAGCTTGAGCTATGGTAGAAAGGGCTATACAAAACATGGCAAGCAAAAAAAAGAAAAGAAGAGGAGAAAACAATTCAAGAACATATCAAGAAGAGGCATGCAATAATAGTAAGCAATCAAAAAAAGATAATCAACAGCTTACTAGAAAAACCAAAAACAAATTAAAGTTAGACAGAATATTACTTGAAGAAGAAGATATAGAAGAAGAGCTAATATATAATCCACAAGAAGTACTTGAATCAATCAAGAACTATTTTCAAAGACAGTTTAGAAAAAGAAATACAAAAGTAAAAGAACTTTCATTATTCTAGAAAAAAGAGTATGAACCATTAGAATGTATAGAAGAAGAATAGTACAAAGGACTAACTGAGAGAGTAAAACAAGAAGAGTGGGATCTAGCTCTATTCCAAATGAAAAACGGGTCAGCCCCAGGGTTATCAGGAATATCCTACCCTTTACTTAAAAATATAGAAAGGTATGCAAAAAGCAGATTCATCAGCCTAGCATCTGTATGTATAAAATCTGGAAAAATTCCCAAGAAGTGAAAAATTGGGATACTCTACCCAATACTAAAAAAGAAGAATGAAGATACAAACTGAACAACATCTGACCCATATTATTCCTTAAGACCTTCCGAAAAATAGTTGTCAGAATAGTAAACAACAGACTTAGCAAAATACTAAGAGAAAAAGAAATACTGAAGGGCCGAAACTTTGCAGGGCTGCTAGAAGAAGAAATAGCAGCACTGATACAGCTAATTAACTGTATTCTAGAAGATACTAAGGAAAAAAAAAAAAAGAGGTTTGGCTATTTTTTCAAGATATAAAAAAAGCCTTCGATTCAGTGAGCCTCCAAATACTAAATCTGGCACTAAAAAGAATAAAAATCACAGAGAAAACTAGAAGCTTCATTATAGATCTTTATGATAAAAGAGAAATGGAGGTTTTAACCAAATATGGTCTAACAAAACAGTTCTATACTTGTATAGTTTCCCCTTTAAATTTGTCTATATCCCTCTATGTTTTCTGCCATGCTATTTCATTTTTCTCTTCTTTCTGTTCAAACCATCTCTTGTTGCAATCTAAATTTGCCTATTCTATATCAAGATATCCTAAAACTATCTTGTTTATACTACTTCTTATCTCACTATCTAGCCTTAAATTTTTTCACCTTTCTGTAGTCTTAGAAAGTTTGCTCTATGGATCTTTAAATTCCAAGACTGCTCTTTTTTCAGCTCCTTCTTTTGCTAACTTATCTGCCAAGTCATTTTTCCAAATATTACTATGCCCTTTGATTTTCTTTATATACAGATCTATACTTTTAATTTTTTTAAGCCTTTGTATATACTACAGAATACTTCTATTCTTGATTTTTAGCCCTTCTCTTAATTTGTGTATTCTTTGACTTTTCTTAATAGCTTGTATTACTACAGTGCTGTCTGTTACTATTGTAACTTTTGCATCCTTAAGTATTGCAAATAGCGTAGTTGCTATAGCTCCTAGTTCAGCTTTTGTTAATGAAGGCCAATTAGTTATTGTACACAAAAAGTCTATTATTAAATTCTTCATTTTCTCTTTTTCTTTGAATACTACCTAGCCTGCTTCCATTTTTTGCTTTATCATATTGTTCTTTGGGATTAAGCCAGGAGCTATTTATGTAAAAAATAAGTTTTTTTTCTTCTTGAAGTAGGCATGCTTTCTCTTGTAACTTTCTCATTATGTCTATGTCTTGAACTCCACTTTTTATGATTTTTTCTTCTAAGGACTGAATTTTTATTTTTTTAGTAAGTAAAGAGCAATTTAATTGCATATTTTCATAAGTTGGTTTCTTAAGAAACAGGTATTGCTTTGGTATTTTGAGTTCCCAAACTTTATTATTTTCATGTTGTATTTTTTTTAAGAGGTTTTTGTTTATAACTCTTTTTGTCATTTTAAACT